AATTAATAATAAAATACATCGTGCAGTACTGATACATTTATAAGTGTATTATATCAGTGTAAATGTGTATTTTGTTTTTTATTATGCCAGAATGTTTTTCTTTTTTCGTTTACTCTCAGTAAACCCCTTGTAGAATTATCACGCCCCTTTAGCCCCACAGTTTGAGAAACACTGCATTAAAAACATGTTAAGAACAAGCTTAATTATAAATTATAGTTTTAAAAAAAACTAAGAAACACTCTTTTATAATTAATCGAACTAAACTGCAACTAAATAGTTTAGTCACCAAATCTGGAAATGGGATCTGGCATTAGTCGCCAGATGCGGGAGGGGATCTGAAAAAGAGAAACCGTTAGTCCTGAGGATCCTGATCAGGACAATGGAACAAAATTATTAAATTATTGTATTGCCATCGGTCCTGGACAAGTGAGCAAAATTTCGAATTAGCCTGACCTTTTGAAATGTTAAGAAATTGAGTTCAAAGATTCCGTTTCATGCAAGTGAAACTTATAAAAGGGTGTTAATATTTACTAGAAACCATATGGGCTTGTCATGTACAAAATATGTAATACTCATCTTGTTAATTTGAAAGATTTATTATTAAATTAAAGCTGGGATACTCAACCTTTTTTTCTGATGGGCAGCATTCATATGTCAGCCATTTCACGCGGGCCGCGTATGCATGTTAGCTATTTCACGCGGGCCGCAACATGAGGTTATAGGAGGGTGGAGAAAGAAATGGTTTAGGATCAATACAACATTCAAAAATTAAATCAAAATATTATAACTCCTGTTTCGCTTTTTTAAATTATTATGTTTTATTTTTGTCACTAACACTAAATTAAAAGAATTTAAGAAACACTGGTTCTTAATTTTTGTAGTAAACGGTTTATTATGATTATCAATAATGTTACAAACTTCATAGGATGTTTTTGTTACAGTTGTGACGTTACCACTGACAAAACACTTTGTTTTTGTTTCAAAAGGAATATTCAATATAAAATCTATTTATCTCCTCTTGAAAGATATCTTGGATGAAAAGTGTCATTGAATGTGTGTGTATCCTGTTTATAGGTAATTTTTAAATACAACACGCTCGTGACAAAAAGTACTGATCCATGTTGGGGGTTCCACTGCAAAGTAGTAAAGCTCCAAATCATTCCAATATTTTTCGCTTGCAAGGTATGAAAGATGACTAGAAAGTAGTCCCACCCATAAAATATTCCTTACACCACTGTTATGTGTTATCACTAACCGCGTGCGTAATCGTTACAAATAGAAAAAAGAATATCAATTCTCAGCCGTACGACATCGACAACAAAAAAGCAAAATCGATATATTTGATTTCTTGTCAAAAAATTTACCACCAAATTTTTAATACTTTGTTCTTAAATAAGTGAATTTCTCAGAGCAATGGGTCATGACCGCGCCACTTAAAAGGTCTCGGTAAGCCGCAGGTTGAGTATCGCTGAAGTAGAGTATTGTAACTTTACGTGAAATACATTATTATTGAGTTTAATGCATTGTATTGTATGGAAGAGAGTGCCATGAAAATTATGATAGGAAGTTGGGTTGCAAACACTGAAAGTTTGAGAAGCCCTGCTATAATACCAAATCAACATTTGAGGAAGCAACATTGATCTAATTATTAAAATGTCCTTTTGCGCTTTTGTTAGGGCTGCGGTAGCCCAGTGAGGTCAAGGTATCGGATCATGGCAGGCAAGTCATGAGTTCGAGCCCAGTACCACTAAAGACCTACCGTGTAGGGCAGCGATTCACGTTAAATCTGTCGAGAGCCTAAACGTCCTCCTTTTGGTGTGGTGTGGTAGTTAGGAGAGGGGGGTGCCAGCTCAGGTGTCGTCCACGTCACTTGACCATGGTTCAAAATTACGTGGTCCGTCACCAAAAGCCCTCGTGTAGCTGAAGAGTGTGACGTTAATACTCAATCAATCAATTGCGCTTTTGTTTTAATACGATAATAGCCCTTCTATCAAAACACACATAAACTATTTAATGTTTCTCATTTTTTACTAAGTTATGGCATAGTCTAGATTTCTTTCATCCACATGAGCAAGTCTCCTGTTTATATTCTACTATCAAAGAAATTTGATAGAAAAAAATGATAAATTTAATTGCTTCATTGATAGAATTTCGCGTTAAATTTTCTTTACATTTTTCTTAAATAATTGCATTTCCTAGTGCAATGGGCTATAGCTGGTTTACTCAGAAAAGGCAATCAGTTGCAGGTTGTATATCACTGAGTTTGGGTGTCGTATGTAGATACAAAACAGCCAACAAAAAAGAGCCCCAATAATAATAATAATAATAATAAATAAATAAATAAAAGGAAAGAAAAGAAAGCAGAAAATATGGTTAACGCTAAAATTAGCAATAGTTTTATATTCATCGTGTTTTGCCTCCTATCAATTTTACAATTTGTCTTTCCTTTGCCAGAACGTTAAATAGCTAACATACAGTGAAAGAGAACAAAACGCTTTCTTTTGCTTGTAACGAAAATTAGAATTAATATTTTGTGAAGGACATGTGTTTATCGGGAATTCGAAATAAATCATTATTTTTACATAACTATCTGTAAGAGAGTCTCTGAAATACAGATCTGTCACGGAATAATAACAGAAGTTGCTTATCTATTCCATACCTGAAGTTCCTTTTTTTTGGTGTCTGCTTTCGAGAAGATAAATCACGTCACTTGAAATTCAAGACAGTTCCGACAGTTAAACAGTTACACAAAGAATCCCCGGCCTAGAAATTTCAAAATCAATATTTGGAAATACGAAGCAAAGGAAAAACCGACCACTATCTTAGCATTTTGCAAATATTGACTTTTTTTTATTTGTGGAAGTATTTTTGTTTTCACAGGCATTGGAAAAAATGTTTCAGGTAGTTTTTGTTTTTGTAAGAATTCACAGATATTCATTGTTTTTAAAATAATTTCTTTAAACATATTTGAAATACACGGCGTAAAAAATCAGCACAGTTGCAAGATTAAAGCATATTCTTTATAAAAAAAAGTGTGTGTGTATTTAAGTACGCACGTAAGAAGTTATACTTCTTTGGCGTAACAAGATTAAAATTTTTCTAAAATTCTTTAGCAGGGCAAGCTGTTCTAAGAGCGAAAAACGGTCACGAGAAGAGTTGAACGATACTAAAATTCAGTCAATTGCACCAGGCAAACCTGAAATAATCATGATTTAAAAAAATTTAAACACCTCGAAAAGGGACAATAGGGGGAGGGTATCAGACTATATCTGGAGATTAAGTGAGACGAATGTGACCTCTGACCCTCATATAACAATATCTTTAGCGGGAAGAATTGTTACTGAGAAAAGTTAGACATCCGCCTGAAGAGCCCCCGAGTTATGGTCATTTTAAAATAATTAAAATATTTAAAACAATTAAATAAAATAAAAGTAGGACACCCAGAAACTCAAAAATGGGCCTGGTTGTGAGCAAACACTAGAAAAATCCATTAGAACTGGTCCGGAGTCTGTAGTTGCAAAAATGGGGTGGTGCTAGCTCGGGAAAGAAAAACGAAACTAGCTCCCCCGGGGGGAATAACTGTGACGTAAATGGTCACATACATCCGAACTATACACAGAGAGTAGTAGGTGATTCATCCTTCTATCTCTGTAATATCGTTACGTAATCAAAAGATCGAACCCATAGAAATAACATGGGAATTCTCTAATTTTAGTGATAACGCCTCCTCCATAAGCCAACTATCTACACACGAATTAT